CAAGAGAAGGAGTTTCTCTCGAAAGAAGTGAGTGGGAGGAAAGTAGAACTTGATGAGGTAATTGTACCTTCTCCCAAATTGGAAAGTAGTTCATCACAGAAATCAGTTCCAGTGATGCCTACACCAATTAGTGAGAAAGTTAATGACGACGATCATGAAACTTCAGATCAAGTTACTACCAAACCTCATAGGTCAACCAGAGTACGTTCTGCACCACAGTGGTACGGTAATCGTATTCTGGAAGCCATGTTACTAGACCATGATGAACCTACGAACTATGAGGAAGCGATGATGAGCCCAGATTCCGCAAAATGGCTTAAGGCCATGAAATCTGAGATGGGATCCATGTATGAGAACAAAGTATGGACTTTGATTGACTTGCCCGATGATCTATGAGCCATTCAGAATAAATGGATCTTCAAGAGGAAGACAGACGCTGATAGTGGTGTTACTATCTACAAAGCTTGATTTGTCGCAAAAGGTTTTCGATAAGTTCAAGGTATTGACTACGATGAGATTTTCTCACTCGTATCGATGCTTAAAAGCCTGTCTGAATCATGTTAGCAGTTGCCGCAATTTATGAAATCTGGCAAATAGGATATCAAAACTACATTCCTTAATGGATTTATTAAAAAAGAGTTGTATATGATGCAACCAGAAGGTTTTGTCAATCCTAAAGATGCTAACAAAGTGTGCAAGCTCCATGATCCATCTATTGATTGGTGCAAGCATCTCGGAGTTGGAATATACACTTTGATAAGTTGATCGAAGCATATAGTTCTATACAGACTTGCGGTGAAGCATGTATTTACAAGAAAGTGAGTGGGAGCACTACAACCTTTCTTATAAGTATATGTGAATGACATATTGTTGATCGGAAATGATGTAGAATTTTCTGGAAAGCATAAAGGAGTGTTTGAAAGGAATTTTTCAAAGAAAGACCTCGGTGAAGCTACTTACATATTGAGCATAAAGATCCATAGAGATAGATCAAGACGCTTGATATATTTTTGATGAGTACATACCTTGACAAGATTTTGAAGTAGTTCGAAATGGAACAGTGAAAGAAGGAGTTCTTGCCTGTGTTGCAAGGTCTGAAGTTGAGTAAAGACTCAAAACCTGACCACGGCATAAAATAGAAAGAGAATGAAAAGTCATTCCCTATGCCTCAGTCATAGGTTCTATAAAGTATGCTATGCTGTGTACCAGACCTATTGTGTAATTCACCATAAGTTTGGATCCAGGAGTGGATCACTGGACAGCAGTCATAAATATCCTTAGTGGAATAAGGAAATGTTTCTCGGTTATGGAGGTGACAAAGATTTCGTCGTAAAGAGTTACATCGATACAAGCTTTGACACCGATCTGGATGACTCTAAGTCTCGATCTAGATACATATTGAAAGTGGGAGCAATTAGCTAGAGTAGCTCCGTGCAAAGCATTGTAGACATTGTAAATCTACAAAACACATATGGCCCTGAATGTGGAAGACCCGTTGACTAAATTTCTATCACAAGCAAAACATGATCACCCTTTGGGTGTTAATCACATAGCGATGTGAACTAGATTATTGACTCTAGTAAACCCTTTGGGTGTTAGTCACATGGATGTGTGAACTAATCACATAAAGATGTGAACTATTGCTGTTAAATCACATGACGATGTGAACTAGATTATTGACTCTAGTGCAAGTGGGAGACTGAAGGAAATATGCCCTAGAGGCAATAATAAAGTTGTCATTTATATTTCCTTATATCATGATAAATGTTTATTATTCATGCTAGAATTGTATTAACCGGAAACTTAGTACATGTGTGAATACATAGACAAACAGAGTGTCCCTAGTATGCCTCTAGTTGACTAGCTCGTTAATCAAAGATGGTTAAGTTTCCTAGCTAGTGACATGCGTTGTCATTTGATGAACGGGATCACATCATTAGAGAATGATGCGATGGACAAGACCCATCCGTTAGCTTAGCATAATGATCGTTCAGTTTTATTGTTACTGCTTTCTTCATGACTTATACATGTTTCTCTGACTGAGATTATGCAACTCCCGAATACCGGAGGAACACCTTGTGTGCTATCGAATGTCACAACGCAACTGGGTGATTATAAAGATGCTCTACATGTGTCTTTGATGGTGTTTGTTGAGTTGGCATAGATTGAGATTAGGATTTTTCACTCCGTCTATCGGAGAGGTATCTCTGGGCCCTCTCGGTAATGTACATCACTATGAGCTTTGCAAGAAATGTGACTAATGAGTTAGTTGCGGGATGATACATTACGAAACGAGTAAAGAGACTTGCCGGTAACGAGACTGAACTAGGTATGATGATAGCGGCGATCGAATCTCAGGCAAGTAACATACTGATGACAAAGGGAACATCATATGTTGTTGAGTGGTTTGACCGATAAAGATCTTCGTTGTCGGGGATATACCCCGCGGTGTGACCCGGCCGGAGATATGACCCGGCTGGGACTTGATGTTTCATTGGTGACCCGGTAGGCTATAAGCCGGCGGGAACAGTTAAGCAGGTTAAGCCGGCGGGAACAGTTAAGCAGGTTAAGCCGGCAGACACAGTCATGTAAGCCGACAGACACAGTCATGCAAGCCGACAGACACAGTCAAGCATTGTAAGCCGGCAGACACAGTCATGTAAGTCGGACAGTTAAGCCAGACAGTTAAGCCAGACAGTTAAGCCAGATTGTTATCCTGATTGTAAGCCGGATTGTAAACCGGCTTACGTTAAGAAGCCCAAGACTTTAAGAAGCCCATGGTAAGACGTCAAAATAGGTTAAGTCCTAATCCAAGTTTGACTCTACATGTAACCCACCCCTTCATCTTATATAAGGAGGGGCGGGGCACCCCAAGAGGGGAGAGCAAGAAAATAATCATTAAGGCTAGACACAACTAGAGGAGAGCCAGATTTATGACGTCTCCCTCATGAGCATAATGAGACCTAGCCACAAATAACATGTAGGGCTATTTCCGCATGATGTTTCCCGGGGCCCGAAGTTGTCTAAACCTTGTCTTATGTGTTGCGTCTCTCGTCCCGATCAACCCCTCTCAAGCTACCACATAGATGTGTTGGCCTCACGACTAAGTCCTCACACTAGGACATCTGCCGTGACAAATCCACGATAGTTAGCGCCCACTTTGGTGCTCGCGCACGGTGGTGTTGAGTTCTTGGAGGGATCTCTCAGGGATCAAGAAGTTTATAATTTTCCGGATGAAGACTAGCCGGTTTGAAAGAATCTACATCAGCTTCATGTTCTTCAGGCCGGATTTATAATTTATGAGATTCAAAAGGTTCAAGTAAAATCAGGGTTGCCATCTGTTCACTACTATAAGTCGCCAAGAAATCAGCGGCAGGTCTGATATTGATGTTACGTCAACATCAGCGATTGTTAAAGGTCAAATCCTCTAGCTATTAGTCAAATTTTCTCTTACATCAAGACTGCGGTAGAGATTCAGATGTGATTTTTTCAAAGACTCCTACAACCCGGAAATGAAGAGGGCGGCGACCCAGATTCCTCTGCGGAATGTGCCTCACCTGTCACCTCTGCCCAGAATCCGGGTTGATCGCTGCTTCGGCTCGGAGCGGCCGGTGCGCCTCTGCCGCGTCGCCCGCCTACGAGTCGCCGCCTCCTCTACGACGCTTGAGCCACCATGAGCAGTCACCTCCGCTACTGCGACCGCAGCCGTCCGTTTCTATAGTTGTCGTACCGCGCCGCTAGCTCACTACCACTGCCGGGTCCGCGTGCGCTGGCAATTGTTGGGTCTGCTCCGCTGAGCTGTCCACGCGCTGGGGATCCTCTGCCTCCAAGTCGCCACTTCAAAACGCCAGGTTTCCACTGCGGAGAGCCACCACCACTGTCGCCTCGTGGGTCGTCGTGGCCTCGTGGGCCGCCATTGCCTCGTCAAGCCGGCCGCGTCTGAGTCGCCGCAGCCACCGAGACCCACCATGGCTTGTTCTGGTTGTCCACATCTGTCGTGATTCCGAGCCGCCGGCCTCACCCCACTACGTCGTCTCTGTTTCTTCCAAGCCGCCCGTGAACCACTTGCCGGGTCGCCGCGTCCGCACGTCAAGCCGCCACCGCGGGCACGGCCTCGAGTCGCTATTGCGCCAAGCCGCCGGCGCTCGCTTGCCTCCGCTCTGAATCATCCCCATAGTCTGCCATCACGGACAAGTGTTGAGTCACCGCCTCGTCAGCCCAGTCTCGTGCTACTTTCGCAACGCCATCTCTTACATCACGCTGGTATAAGTCGGCCCTACCGTGGTTGACTAGTCTCACTATGCCAACTGCTCCTCCGTGCCGGGTCTCGCCGTGGCTCCGTTTCCTAAGCCGTCGTTTGAGCAAACCACTAAGCCGCCCGGCGCGGACCCTGCTCCTGCAGTGCCAAGCCACCCCTGCCGATCTCCCATGGCGTAGCTCCTTCTACTTCTCTCGCGGACACCGGCGCCTCTCTGTTGCATCTACCTCCTCCGACCGCGCCTTTTGACCCGGCAAGGTCGTCGCGGTCCTCTGTGGTACAACCACCGAGCCTCCGCGGTCATTGGGACATATGCCAAGTCGATGTGCTCGCCTCAAGTCACCCGAGACCCCGCGTGACCTCGGAGCTGAGTCGCTGGGCTCCACTGCGGCCCCGCCTTGTGTTGCCTCCATTACTCCATCGCTATGGCCTGTCCCTACCAATGCAGTGCAGAGCCGCCTTTGCCACGCTGCCGGAGAGCCGCCCTTGCACTGCCCTTGAGCCGTCGTCGCCTCGACAAGCCACCGCCGTGGCCAAATCAATCGTCGGCCATCTCTACCTCAACGCCTGTGAGCTACGTCGCGATTTCCATTACATGCTTTGAACTGCCTTTGCTCTGGGTCTGTCGTTCCTCTGCGCGCTCCTGGTCCTCGCCTCCAGCAGCGGCGTGAGCCGCCTGACGCGCCACGCCGCCCCACAGACTCGACCCGTCTTTGCTTCAATTGAGCCATCCTCTATTGCTATGGACTCATTGCCGCTGTGGCTTGCCTTTGCAGTGGCCCGCCCCGTTGCTCCCCATCTGTTGCAGCCTCCACTATGTCTCGAGCTGGCTGCCATGCCGTGAGCCTCGTTGAGCCGCTGGCCGCCTCAGCCCGCCTCCGCGGCCTCACCGTCTGGAGATGAGAATATGACTGACGTTTCAGATGAGTTGAACTTGCAATGACTTAACCCGGCAGGTCGTGGTATTCTGGGTACTCCCTTGGCAGAAATTTTCACGTGATAATGAGCATCAGGTTGTCAACATTGATGAGGAAGGGAGGTTGTAACTCAAGTAACTACGATGGATACTTCAGATATTCCTGTCGAAAGTCCTCTTGGTATTTTAAACTCCTAAAGCAATGAACATCATATTTTGGAATTTAGGAATAACGAGCTCTTTGTGTCAGAGTTGCAAAATACACTGGATAAAAACCAATACGGTTGGATGAGGCAGGAAGTAAAACTTAGCTCTGTGATGGGTGAAGCTAAATCTCTGAAGCAAGAACTTGAAAGTGTCCAGCAAGTCCCAGATTAATTGTGCGCACGAGGAAAACTGCTTGCATGAGGCAAGGGAAGGAGAGTCGTTGTTTCATCTGTTCTTTTCTCTGGCTTTTGTTGTGGCCATTGCTGCTTCCACATTGATCAAGAGAAATCACATCAACCACTGGTGCTACTTACTCCACGTGAGATCAAGGATATTGTACACTTTGGTTCCTAGTGCTATTAGTTGGGCTGAGAACTGTTGCGATATTACCAGGACAATTATTCACTATAAGGGTGGTGCCATGCCGTGCCTATGGAGTGTGCGTTAGTATCATCATGCACTAGCGTGTGCGCCCGATTGCTATTGAATTGGTGTGCGCAAGCCGCAGTCTCTGCGGCCCAATCTACGTTGACGCGATGGGGTTAACACGCCCGTCCGCACCATGGCTGACTCGCCCATCCGCGGCCAACTCATCTGTCCGCACTTGCAACTGACTCACCCGTCCGCGCTGGCTTACAATGCCACGGGCGACTTATCTATCTTCTCCCGTGGCTGACCCGGCCGTGACGGATATCAGCTTCACCGTGGTAATCATCAAACTCTGCGGCGGATAACTTCCAGCTTAACAAATCATGTGAAATCCATCGAGTATATTTTTATATTACATATTGCTTTCTTTAAAAGAGCAATTACTCTTGCTTGCAAGTTCTCCCATGCAGGACTCAAACCGGTCTATATCACGGTCAACTATGGAGAATCTCAAGTCAACTCATTGAGTCGTCTTAAAGACTCGAGGGATCCATGGACATAGCTTAATAAATGTTGCCAGTTTAAAGGCCGTCCGGAAAAAATTCTGGTTCAGGAAGAATTTATCTATCACAAAGCTCGAGTTCTCAGGAAAAATTAAAGGGGCCAAAGAGAGTCTGTTGCAAGGCACAACTCAAACATAGGTACCCTGCTTCAAAAGACCATTGTGGGCTGATTGTATTTGAATCTAGCTTAACCCCTTTTGGGTCTGACTTTGATTGTATTCGAATCAGAGTCGTTAAAAAAGTCTCAAGGTCATTTGGGGGCTTCCTGTTCAAACATAGGTCGTATTCGAACCAAAGAGAACATAGCTGTCGGTACCCTCTTGATCGGCGCAATGCCAAACCCACTAGGGGGCTTCTTGAACGTATTCAAATCATAGCTTAACCCCTTTTGGGTCTGACTTTGATCGTATTCGAATCAGAGTCGTTAAAAAACTCTCAAGGTCGTTTGGGGGATTCCTGTTCAAACATAGGTCGTATTCGAACCAAAGAGAACATAGTTGTCGATACCCTCTTGATCGGCGCAACACCAAAACCACTAGGGGGCTTCATGATCGTATTCGAATCCTAGCTTAACCCCTTTTGGTCCGGTTTACTGATCGTATTCGAATCAGAAGCCTCATTTTTTCTCTGTTTGGCTTAAGTTTTTTGAAAACAATCTTTGGTTTTGTCTTGAGACCTTTTTGTTCATATCTGAAGCATATATGTGGTTTCGATTAACCCGGCTTGACTTCGGATGATAAGTTGCCATATATGACAATCATAAACATTTGGAAGTTTTGGCTTCTAAAGATTGGGTTATCACCCTTACTGCACAGGTAACCCAAATCGCCAGTACGGTTCAATATCACAAGAACCGGTTTTCCAAAACGGACTATATTATTCAAATCTTTAATAACCAACATGGCTGGATTTTTATTATGGTTATCAATAGCCAATATTATGATGGAGGTCTTCAAAGTCACTTCAGCGCAATGGTTATTATTTTGTTAATGGACATGATTTATTTTTACAATGGAGGGAATAGTCCCGAGTCGCTGCAGGCTTACAACCCGGCACTTGGGGGCTACATTATTCAAATTGAGATTACATCAAATATGCAAGTCCCATGTCACTGCCAGCATGCACCATGGCACTTGGGGGCTAATGTAAAGTCATTTTTTGATCAACTTATTGAAGACTCGACTCATCCCATTGTAATCAGCCTGCCCTTTGGGGCTACCAATTGCTCCTAACAAAAATTCAAGGTACACAAGCCTCAGTCCATTATATTGAAAGATCCACTACTCAGTTGGTAGAGTACAAAGCTCTCAACCTTATGGACGTGGGTTCAAGCTCCATGGTGGAGATTACATCATATGATGTTGTTATCAATGAATTATATACAAATTCCTAGCTCAGTATTATCTTACTGAGTCGGCCCTTGGGTGATACACGTTGCTGCTCAAGTCTACATGATCATATTTACAAAGTCCCTGCTCATTATTGCATAATGACCCGGCCCTTGGGGGCTACAAGTGATATGGATATAATGGAGATCTACATCTTCAAGCCGGCTGAAAATCAGATGAGTATTTCAAGGCCAATATTCTTCACAATATTTTTCTGTGAGAAACCAATGTCAGCAAATTGATTATGAAGTTGGTATATTGACTCGGACTTCCCACAAGAAGGAAATGACAAGGACTTAAGGATGATCAGGTCCCGGCTTACAAGAGTTCTTAACCCAGAGCATAATCTGTCAAAATTGTTATTATGTTTGTTTTACAAGATCAGCTTAACATGGATGAATCCAAATTAAACAGAGGGCTAATGTCAGGGATATACCCTGCGGTGTGACCCGGCCGGAGATATGACCCGACTGGGACTTGATGTTTCATTGGTGACCCGGAAGGGTATAAGCCGGTGGGAACAGTTAAGCAGGTTAAGCTGGCAGACACAGTCATGTAAGCCGGCAGACACAATCAAGCACTGTAAGCCAGCAGACACAGTCATGTAAGCTGGACAGTTAAGCCAGACAGTTAAGCCAGATTGTAAGCCGGATTGTAAACCGGCTTACGTTAAGAAGCCCAAGACGTTAAGAAGTCCATGGTGAGAAGCCCATGGTAAGACATCAAAATAGGTTAAGTCCTAATCCAAGTTTGACTCTACATGTAACACGCCCCTTCATCTTATATAAGGAGGGGCGGGGCACCCCAAGAGGGGAGAGCAAGAAAATAATCGTTAAGGCTAGACACAACTAGAGGAGAGCCAGATTTATGATGTCTCCCTCATGATCATAATGAGACCTAGCCACAAACAGCATGTAGGGCTATTACCGGATGATGTTTCCCGGGGCCTGAAGCTGTCTAAATCCTTGTCTTGTGTGTTGCGTCTCTCGTCCCGATCAACCCCTCTCAAGCTACCACATAGATGCGTTGGCCTCACGACTAAATACTCACACTAGGACATCTACCGTGACAAATCCACGACATTCGTAGAATATGTATGAGCCAATATGAGCATCCAGGTTCCGCTATTGGTTATTGACTGGAGATGTGTCTCGGTCATGTCTACATAGTTCTCGAACCCATAGGGTCCGCACGCTTAACGTTCGATGGTGATTTGTATTATGAGTTATGTGATTTGATGTATTGAAGGTTGTTCGGAGTCTTGGATGAGATCACGGACATGAAGAGGAGTCTCGAAATGGTCGAGACGTAAAGATAGATATATTGGAAGGCTATATTCGGACATCGGAGAGGTTCCGAGTGATTCGGGTATTTTTCTGAGTACCGGAGAGTTATGGGAATTCGCCGAGGAAGTAATGGGCCTTAATGGGCCATACGGGAAAGGAGAGAAGGGCCTCAAGGGGTGGCTGCCCCCCCCATGGGATGGTCCGAATTGAACTAGGGAGGGGGCGTCGCCCCCCTCTTTCCTTCTCTCCCTCTTCCCCTTCCTTCTTCTCCTACTCCAACTAGGGAAGGGTGAGGGAGTCCTGGATTAGGGGTGTTCGGATAGCCGAACTATACCTTCAGCCGGACTCCTGGACTATGAAGATACAAGATTGAAGACTCTGTCCCGTGTCCGGAAGGGACTTTCCTTAGCGTGGAAGGCAAGCTTGGCAATACAGATGTTCAGATCTCCTACCATTGTAACCGACTCTATGTAACCCTAACCCTATCCGGTGTCTATATAAACCGGAGGGTTTTAGTTCGTAGGACAACATACACATCGACAATCATACCATAGGCTAGCTTCTAGGGTTTAGCCTCTCTGATCTCGTGGTAGATCTACTCTTGTACTGCCCATATCATCAATATTAATCAAGCAGGATGTAGGGTTTTACCCCCATCGAGAGGGCCTGAACCTGGGTAAAACTTCATGTCCCTTGCCTCCTGTTACCATCCGGCCTAGACGCACAGTTCGGGACCCCCTACCTGAGATCCGCCGTTTTTGACACCGACATTGGTGCTTTCATTGAGAGTTCCTCTGTGTCATCGCCATCAGGAAGGCCTTGCCCCGTCTTTAAAGACGGCACCGTTGCTAAGGGAGCTTTGGCTATCGGCCAAACCCTCCGGCTAGGTGGTTTTCTTATGACCGCCCGTTCGGCTTCTACGCCAACGATGACCTCTCGAGCCATCGAAAACAATCTTCATGTCAGTTCGGAACTCGCCGAGCAGTTATATCCAATGGAGCTTTCCTCCATAAACGAGCTCTTGGATTGCTTCGCCGCCCTAGGAGTCGCTACGGATTACGACCAGATCGGGCCTAAAACCGATCTAAGAGAGATTAACTCTCCCCAGGTCACCCACCACGTTGCTGTGGTAGAGGGATAGTGCGGCGACCCTTCGGCTATCTTAAGGACTCGCTACGTCCGGATTCCCGATCCCTCCAAGCTGGATACCCGCAGAGGGGAGGATATCACTCAAGACCTGAACTTAGAGTCAAGCGATGGGCTGGATTCATTGGACAACACCCAGGGATCCAAATTTCTGAGTTCAGAAATTCCTCGGCCTCTGAGCCTCAGACGGGGTGAGGCTTCGGATTTAACTCCACCCACCCACCCCAACATAAGCGATCTATCCAAAATCAGGAAAGAGCCCGACGAAACAGTACATCATTACTGGGCTAGATTCCTCCTGGTTAAGAACAGGCTAAGGGACTGCCGCGAGGAACACGCAATCTTAATCTTCTGCAATAATTGCACGGACAAGGGAATACTCAACGCCATAAGCCGTCGTGATATCACACGCTTCGCTG